TGGGCATTAGCAGAGGCCATAGCTCTGGTTAGCTGGGTGGTCACTGAATTGGTGTTAGGCTGAAGCCAGCATAAAGGTCCACCATGTTCAGCTCAGCTCAACAAGTGATCTTGCGGGTTTTGCCCACAATCTAGCAATGATCTCACTATCTTCCAGTGATAAAGGTTCTTAGCTCAGAACTTGGATCAAGGTGTCTCTCTTGCCAGGTAAATCAGTTATGGTTGGGTATATCTGAATGCCACTTGGTAGCCACTGTGTTTATGTGGTAAGTCCAGTTGAATTTCTGGTCAATGGTAACCCTCAGGATGTTAATCGTGGGGGTTCAGTGATGGTAACATCGTTGACTGTCAAGGTGAGGCAGTTAAATTGTCTCTTATTGAAGATGGTCATTGCCTGGCATTTGTATGGCATGAATGTTTCTTGCCATTTTTCAGCCCAAGCCTGGATATTGTCCAGATCTTGTCGCATTTGAACATGGACTGCTTCAGTATCTGAGGAGTTGTGAATGGTGCTGAACATTGTGCAATCATCGGCGAACATCCCCACTTCTGACCTTATGATGGAGGGAAGGTCATTACTGAAGCAGTTGAAAATGGTTGGGCTGAGGATACTACACTGAAGAACTCCTGCAGAGATGTCCTGCAGCTAAGATGACTGAACTCCAACAACCACAACATCTTCCTGTGTAGTAATAAACTTGAAAAATGAGGAGGGGATTGCTTGGTCTGCTATTTGGATTCGCTAAATAAAAATAATAATGGGTACAGTGACACTGTACTCAGAGTCACAGCTTGTACCAATGTGAGGATTCGCTTGCTTTTACCCCCACCTGGGACCTTCTTTTAGGTAAATTAAATAAATTAATCTGTGTATTTGGTGTTCTGATCATCTGCTGCTGTTGACACCGTATTCAATGTGGGATTTAACGTCATTCTGCCTTCAGTAGCAAGGGTTATCTTGGCCAGTTAGAGACACAGGCATTGGGAATGTTGAGCATCAAACTGGTCATTAATTTCTTGTTCTTTGTGGAATTTACTCATTGGCACCAAAGGTAAATCATTGTGAAGAGTATCAAAGTAGCAGAGCTGTGGCTGTAAACAGCCAAATCCATGTGAGCTGTTTATTTAAATTTATTTGTATTTTATAGGAAGAAGCAGGCATTATGTATTCATGTTTGGATTTCTTCCAAAGTCAATACTAATTAAAATTGAATGAATTGTTTCACCCTGTATCAGCACATTTTCAATTCAGAAAATAACTGCCTTGTCTGCATCACCAACCACCAGAGAGCAGTCTTAACCAGTGGATCCTAGGCCAGAAATTTCACTCCACTGAAATCAAGGATCCACCTCACTAGCACCATCCCACCATTCTCCACCGCCCCCCCCAACCATCCTCCTTCCTTCATTTACATTCTCTTCACACCGTTCCCTTTCTCATTCACCCATGTCCTATCCCACCTGCACTTACTTCCACCAATTACCCGTCCCTCCCGTGTACTCCTTCCCCTTCCTACAACTTCCTTTCACGGTGAGTCATTTTTTTAAAAAAACTCCCAGCCCCCTCCACCTTAGATTCATAGAATCTATACAGTGTGGAAACAGGCCATCTGGCCCATCGAGTCCACACCCACCCTCCAAAGAGCATCCCACCCAGATCCACCACCCTACCCTATCCCTGTAACCCCGCATTTCCTATGGCTAACTCACCTAGCCTGCCATCTCTGGGCACTAGGGGAAATTTAGCATGGCCAATCCACCTAACCACATCTTTGGACTCTGGGAGGAAACCCATGTAGACACAGGGAGAATGTGCAGACTCCACACAGACAGTTGCCTAAGGGCGGTTTCGAACCCTGGTGCCTGGCGCTGTGAGGAAGCAGTGCTAACCACTCAGCCATTGTGCTGCACTCATCAACAACATGAGAGGAGCTCATGGAGGTTCAGACAATTTCATCTGCTGTTTCCCTTCATTTGAGAAGCCTACAGAGCCCAACATTCTCCAAGGTTTTCCCTACCCCTGCTCACCTCATCCCCCACCCCCATCCTGCTGCACACCCCACCTCCCCAATCACGCCCTGCTCACCTCATTCCCACCCCTTTCTCACCTCACTCCCACCATGCTGCTCACTGCACATTTTAAAATTGAAAGCATTACACAAAATACAATGCTAAAGGCACAAAAGGACTTTACAAAGTAAAATGTAACATTACAAAACACCAAGTTCAGAGACTGCTGAATGTTCTTCCAGAATGGCTTCATTGAAATAAGGTTATTGAAAATAGAATCTAAAAAAGCACAGAACAGCATGAGGATGGATGCGTACCAAATATTCCAACATGAATTGGAAGGCCACTGATGTCCTATCCAAGTTCAACCTATTTAAATAAACAATACAACTATACTTCACAGACCAAGCAGTTGTACAATTGGTTAAGACACCATGAAAATACTCACTCCAGTTAGAAACAGTTGGTGGGGGGGATTATACAGAATCAATACTTCTGGCTTATCTAATGAGGCCCAGAAAATTCCCGCAAAGATATGGAAAATGCTAGAGGATAAGCTCCATACAAGAGAAAATTTTACAACTCATTATGCAGAACTGATGCCCTACAGGTAGCAGCCACAGGAATCAGTGGTTTAATATGTTAGTAAGTCCAATAACAAGGGCAACAAATGTGATTCTTCAGTGACTGTTGATAAATGCCTCAAAACCTATTGAAATGTTCCAAAATAGACCTCCTGAAAATAAAGAGAAGTCACACCATTGATTCACTGTAAACAGATAGCTGACAAAGCAAAGCCATTGAACTGAACAACAGCACCATGAGGTGTAGCCAACAGTATTGGTAGGACACCAAATGCAAACAAACTATGAGATTAAATGTGATCTGTTGCACCCACAGTGAAGTTGTCCTGTGCTCCAGGATCAGTGCAAGGTGTGTTGTACACAAAAGATACTAGACTCTGCCTCTGCAAGAAATCTAGTTCCAAAGGATTCTTAGGGGACTTTGCAGAGTAGATGCAGAAAGGTCTTTTAGCTTGTGGGAGAGTCTAGCACCAGCAGGCATAATCTCAGAACAAGGGGTCACCCATTTAAGAGAGAGATGAGGAGGAATTTATTTCTGTCAGAGGATAGTGAATCTATGTAATTCTTTACCATACAGGGCTAGTGAGGCTCGGTCATTAAGCATATTCAAGACTGCGACAGACAGATTTTCAATCAGTAAGGGAATTAAGGGGTATGTAAAAAAGGTAAAAAAGTGAAGTTGAAGATTACCAGAATAAAAGAAAGAACTATGGATGCTGGAAGTCAGAAACAAAAACAGACATTGCTGGAGGAACCTAGCAGGTCTGGCAACATCTGTGGAGAGAAATCAGAGTTAATGTTTCAAGTCCAGTGACGTTGGACTTGTTGATCTAGCCAGAGATGGCTTTATTCTGTTTAGAACAATCCTGAAGAAGGGTCACCAGACTCGAAATGTTAACTCTGTTCTCTCTCCACAGATCCTGACAGACCTGCTGAGTTTTTCCAGGAAGTTCTGCATTTGTTGAGGATTATCCGATCAGCCATGATTTCATTGAATGGCAGAGCAGACTTGATAGTTGAATGTCCTGCTTCTGCCCCAACAGTTTATGGTCTAATGCTCAATATGGAAGGAAGTCACAATGGTCCAAGAACTCTGGATAAATAGAAGCAGTTGAGTTAGAGTGGGGTCAGTGTCATTACCATTTCCTATGAATAGGCTGATTGAGACACTTAATGCTTCTATTTTCTGATTAAGGATCATTAATACGGCTGTAGTGACTGTGGCAGTGTGTTTGATGCTGATAGAGCAGACAGGGGACTGAATACAGCTTTAATCAGTTCAGTTCTGGGTATAAGAATGAAGATTGCTGGAATGTGCATTATGATCTGCATAAGCTGCATAAACTGAGCTAGTTCCAAGGATTAGGCTATAGTCCCAGTCAGTACTGACATTCCAATGTGGTAGTGGTAAGTGCTATATCATTGAAGGTGCCTGTTTCTGTTACCTGTTGTGGTAGCAGCGTACTGTCACATAAAATGATGGTCTTGTGGTGTGGCTCACTCCGATACAGCACTTTTGACATATTTGCTCCAGAGAGAGACTGGGGACTGAGAAAGTGCATGATTCACTGGCCTCTGTTCTCACCAGCTCCTCTTCTTAGCAAGCTACTGTCCATTACTATCCACCACTTCCAACGCCCTTCCAAACGGTCAGCCTCCTGAGGGCATGGCCATCAGCATGTCTCTCAGTTGTCCATGTCAATGTTTGCCATCTTCAACTGTCAGTTCAACTGTCAAGGGGTCATGATCCACTGGCCTGTTAACCCTACGGAAGGTTTTTGGGTGAATCCATCCGTGAATGTAGCTGAGGCAGAACAGCCTCAGTGGCTTAGCAATGAGGATCTGTCAATGGAATTAGCACATCCCAGCACCTCCAAGTCCATGTCCTGTCAAGTGATTCTGAACATATAGAAACAGAGAATTGTTACAGTGCAGAAGGTGGCCATTCAGCCCACTGTGCCTGCATTGGCTCTCCCAATAAGCATCTCTCTCTGTTTTATTCTCCTGCCTTTTCTCCATTACTCTGAACAGTCTTCCTTCTCAGATAGCAATTTAATTCTCTTTTGAATGACTTGGTTAAGCCAATTAATTTTAATCTTCTTATTTTCTTCTGAATGGCTTCTCATTTTTGATCCTTTCAGTGAGCGGGAACAGTTTCTTCCCACCTTTTCTGTCTTGACCCCTCATGATTTTGAACACCTCTATAAAATCCCCTCCCAGACACCTTTTCTCCAAGAAAAAAATTCCCAACTTCTCCAATTTATCTTCATAACAAGAATTCCTCATGTCTGCAGCCATTCTCATTAATATGTATGATGGAAGTTGTTTAGTCTTTGATGCTGCCCAGAGATGTTGTCCGGGTCTCAGCAGTGTAGAGGAGTGTGTAAAGGAACAGGCTTGGTAAGACTTACAGCTTGGTGCCCTCTGTCACGTTGCTGTATTTCCACGCTCTCCTACTCAGCTGGGACATAACCACTGCAGTTTTTGCATTGTGCATGTTGATTTCAGCATCAAGTGACAGATCACAAGTGATTGTGAAGCTTTGATGTGTAAGTCTATCAATAACCTCCTGCACCTCATTCTCAATGTTGACAGACAGCAATACGGCAACATCCTGGACCATGCCCTGTGTTTTCTTGAAGGTGATGGTCAACCCAATCTCTTTCCAAGTGGGAGAGAGTATTTTCTCCATTTGCTGCTGAAGAATGATAGTACAGTATCATCAGCGTAGAGCAAGTCCTTGATGTGGACTTTGTCTTGGTTCTCAAGTGAGCAAGACTGAATGACACCTGTCAGTTCTGATCTGTACATAATCACCCTCTGTAGTTGACCTGAAAGCACATGACAGCAACAAAGAGAAAGCACCAAAGACTGTCAGCACCAGATTGCAACTGTTTAACCGAGGGGATAGTTTAAAGGGACACCTAATCAAGTGATGCTAAGAGTGTCTGTGCAGCATCCTTTTGCACCATAATGTTTCTTTGGTTCTGTCACTATGGCAAAGGGGAAAGGGTTTGCTGGCTGGCGAGCCTATGAGAGTGGCGGGGAGGTTGGGGGAAGGCAAGGTACCAGTGAGAGTTGGCAGTGGGGGTGGGATACTACTGAACCTTTCTAAAGAGGTCAGGGGGAGGAGAGCTCAGCGTGCCAGTGCAAGTGTATACTGTGCATCCTTAAAAATAATGGACCAAGGCATCCCAATTGCACATGACCGAAGACATGGGAAACGTGCTTCATAAGTGGAATGATCCAGGAAGTTGATCACTCTATTTGACCCCACTACATTTCTCCAAGGATTTTAATGATGCTCCATCATAGCTGACCTTGCCCAGCAAGTTGTTACAGAAACAGGAGATCACATTGAGCAGCTTTAGCAAGCAGCTGCAGCAGTTCCTGTTTCTGCTCCCATGGTCAAGTGTCTTGATGAGATTAGTGAAGGTGATGTGCAGAGGGTTTATACACAGCATTTCTCTTGCAGCTGCCAGATCCAAATTGTGGACCTTCCAGTTTAGGGATTCTGATTAGAGACTCTCAGCCAGAATCTGCAATCTGACAAAGAAAACTCAGGCAAACACTTTTAACTTGCTTCAATTGAGATGCCTCAATCAATGTTGTTGTAATCACTGCACTGCTCTTACCCTTCATCTTATACAGGGTTCCAATCTGTGCATCATTCTATCACCAGGCACTGCCCTTTCCCTCTGGAGACAGCCAAGTTCATGCAGATGATGTTGGGATGGGGTTTAAACATCAAACAGTGCTATTTCAGTGTCCTGGCTGGTATAGCTCCCTGAACCGAGAATATCAATTTACCATTTGGGTAATTTCTCTGGTGGGACCTTGACACCAGCTGGCTGTCACTGCTGCTTGTGTAACAGTATTATTTTTTGAGATGTTATGCTACTGTGTGAAACTGCAAAAATTGTACAGAAATTTTCTTATTCGATTTTAGGTATTGTCACTTACCCAAACCATGGTATTACTCAAACTCCATTCCTTATCCCTAAAAGATGGCAGCAGTGGGGGCAGGATAGGAAGTGATGGGGGGGCTCTGTGCCCATATGCTCCCACTCACTTGGACGGCCACATTCTTCTTTGTTCTTGTTTTTTGTTTCATTTCTTCATATCTCTTTTATATCCATAGTGGACACGGCTTTATCGAAGGCTTCATTGTCGATGGGTCCTGGTTTGATCCTTCTGAGTATGGTGGCGATGTAGCAGCTTAGGGTGGCAACTGAAGTGGTGATGGCTCCAGCAATGGTGACTTAGTGGTTCTGGTCTGTACCTCCTTGCTATGGCGGTGATGCAGTGGATTCGGTATCTGTTACGATGGTGGCAGCGTAGTGGGTCTGTTCTGGAAATCCTTGCTTTGGCAGCTTCAGGAGTGGCTTCAGCGGCAGTGTTCCATAGCCACTTCAGAAACCCAGGAGCCATAGAGGGAGCAAAAGATAAACTTTGTCTCAATTATTTCTTTTTATAATTTCTGTCATTAAAATGGCGCTAAATTGTGGCAACTGATGCACATCTCACTGTATTTTCATAAATACAAGTGACAATAAATTGCTATTCTATTGTATTGTCCCTCGTCTATTCACCAATAAATCCATTTGGATCATCTTAGCTGCAAAATTAAACTCCATTCCAATATTTCTCATAACTTTGCTTGTTTCTTAAAGTTGCAGCTACCAATGCTGGAGATCAAATGGCAGGGGACGCACGGGTTTAGATACAGAGTAAAGCTCTCTCTACACTGTTCCCCAATCAAATATTCCCAGTTCAGGGCCAGCACGGGGTTAGGTACAAAGTAAAGTTCCCTGCACTCTTTTAAATTAAAGCTTCCTCTACACTATCCCTATCTAACACTCCCAGGAAAGATATGGCACGGGGTTAGATACAGAGTAAAGCTCCCTCAACACTGTCACCATCAAATACTCCCAAGACAGGGACAGCATAGGGTTAGATACAGAGTAAAGTTCCCTGTACACTGTCCCCATCAAACACTCCCAGGGCAGGGACAGTTTGAGCCAAAAGCAGAAATTGCTGGCAAAATTCACAAGGTCTGGCAGCAATTGAGGGGTGAAAGCAGAGTTAGTGTTTCCAGTTGGGCAACTCTTCATCAGAATACTGGACACGGATGAAGAGTCATGGGACTCGAAACATTAATTCTGCTTTCTTCCCACAGATGCTGCCAGACCCGTTGAGTTTCACCAACATTTTCAGTTTTTGTTTCAGATCTCCAGCATCCTTAGCTCTTTGTTTTATTTTCAGGGATAGCTTGAGGTTAGATACAACATAAATTAGGCAACTATTAGGCAGAGCATAAATTGGGATCAGATGTTCTCAGGGAAATGCACAACAGAAATGTGGAGGTCGTTTAGGGAGCAGTTGCTACAAGTACTGGATAGGTTTGTCCCACTGAGGCAAGGAAAGGATGGTAAGGCGAAGGAACCTTGGATGACAAGACATGTGGAACACCTAGTCAAGAGGAAGAAGGAAGCTTACTTAAGGTTGAGGAAGCAAGGATCGGACAGGGCTACGGAGGTCTACAAGGTAGCCAGGAAGGAACTGAAGAATGGACTTAGAGCTAGAAGGGGGTATGAGAAAGCCTTGGTGAGTAGGATCAAGGAAAACCCCAAGGCGTTCTATGCTTATGGGAGGAACAAGAGGATGGCTGCTTGGCCTGCTGTGTTCATCCAGCTCTACACCTTGTTATTTTAGCTAGCGTGAAGGTAGGGCCAATCAGGGATAGTTGAGGGAACTTGTGCACGGAGTCAGAGGAGGTAGGGGAGGTCCTTAATTAATACTTTGCTTCAGTATTCACCAGTTAGAGGGACCTTGACGTTTGTGAGGACAGCATGAACCAGGCAGATATGCTCGAACAGGTTGATGTTAGGAAGGAGGATGTGCTAGTAATTTTGAAAAACATGAGGATAGATAAGTTCCCTGGGCCAGATGGAATATACCCAAGGTTGCTACGGGAAGCGAGGGAAGAGATTGCTGCCCCTTTGGCAATGATCTTTGCGTCCTCACTGTCCACTGGAGTAGTACCAAATGATTGGAGGGTGGCAGATGTCATTCCCTTGTTCAAGAAAGGGAGTAGGGATAATCCTGAGAATTACAGACCGGTCAGTCTTTCTTCTGTGGTGGGCAAATTATTAGAGGGGATTCTGACAGATAGTATTTCTGATTATTTGGAAAAGCACAGTTTGATTAGAAATAGTTAGCATGGCTTTGTGAGGGGCAGGTCATGCCTCACAAGCCTTATTGAATTCTTTGAGCATGTGACAAAACACATCGATGAAGGTAGAGCAGTGGATGTGGTGTATATGGATTTTAGCAAGGCATTTGATAAGGTTCCACATGGTAGGCTCATTCAGGAAGTAAGGAGGCATGGGATTCAGGGAAATTTGGCTATCTGAATACAGAATTGGCAGTCCAATAGAAGTCAGAGGGTGGTAGTAGATGCAAAATAGTCAGCCTGGAGCTCGGTGACCAGTGGTGTTCCACAGGGATCTGTTCTGGGACCTCGGCTCTTTGTGATCTTTATAAATGACTTGGATGAGGAAGTGGAAGGGTGGGTTGGTAAGTTTGTCGATGACACGAAGGTTGGTGGAATTGTGGACAGTGTGGAGGGCTGTCATAGGTTGCAACGGGACATTGACAGGATGTAGAACTGGGCAAAGAAGTGGCAGATGGAATTCAACCCAGAAAAGTGTGAAGTGATTCATTTTGGAAGGTCGAATTTGAATGCAGAATACAGGGTTAATGACAGGATTCTTGGCAGTGTGGAGGAACAGAGGGATCTTGGGGTCTACGTCCACAGATCTCTCAAAGTTGCTACCCAAGTTGATAGGGTTGTAAAGAAGGCCTATGGTGTGTTGGCGTTCATTGGCAGGGGAATGGAGTTTAAGAGCCACGAGGTAATACTGCAGCTCTATAAAACCCTGGTTAGACCACATTTGGAATATTGTGCTCAGTTCTGGTTACCTCATTATTGGAAAGATGTGGAAGCTTTAGAGAGGGTGCAGAGGAGATTTACCAGGATGCTGCCTGGACGGGGGGGCAGGTCTTATGAGGAAAGGTTGAGGGAGCTAGGGCTTTTTTCATTGGAGCAAAGACAGATGAGAGGTGACTTGATAGAGATGTACAAGATGATGAGAGGCATAGATAGAGTGGATAGCCAGAGACTTTTTCCCAGGGCGGAAATGACTATTATGAGGGGGCATAATTTTAAGGTGATTGGAGGAAGGTATAGGAGAGATGTCAGAGGTAGGTTCTTCACACAGAGAGTGGTGGGCGTGTGGAATGCGCTGCCAGCAGTGGTAGTGAAGTCAGATACTTTAGAGACTTTTAAACGACTCTTGGATAGGCACATAGAGGATAGTAAAATGTAGGGTATGCAGGGTAGTTTGATCTTAGTAGGATAATAGGTCGGCACAACATCGTGAGCTGAAGGGCCTGTACTGTGCTGTGAAAAGTAAAAAAAAGCTCTCTCTACACCACATTGTGACATTTTCTACCCTGGAAGGCGCTACATAAATGCAATTATTACGCGGGCTGCAGTTGATTCGGTTTAAACAGCCTACTGTTTGATGTGTCTGCCTCACCACAAGGAGCCATTGGGGGAGCTCTAAATTGCAGGCTGGCTTGTGTTGGAGTGAAAGGTTTGGTTGATATTTTTGGCTCGTTCTCCTGCCAAGG